AACATGATAGTGTGGACTAATCTGCATTTAGTTGCCAGGCTGATGTCCTTGCTTTTCCATACTCACTTCATGCTCATCATTGCTGTGCAACCTAGTGATTCGACACTTTATTTCTGGACTGCATTCACGGCTTTAATCAATCCGCAATCATAGGAAAGCAAATTCTTGCATGCATTCAATCTCTTCACTATCAATAGTTATTTTGACATTTCCATTCCTTGCAGTGGTCATGAGCTTGGTCTTTTTGATGTTCAGGAAGAGGCCAACTTTCTCATTTTTTTTTTTTAATCCTTTTGACCAGATGTTTCAGGTCGTCTTTGGTTTCTGAGAGGAGAGTTGTGTCATCAGCATATTGAAGATTCCTCCAATCTTTACTTCGGTTTTTGATTCTTCAAGTTCCAGCTTCCTCATGATCACTTTGGCATACAGATTGAATAAGGTGAAAGAATGCAACCTTGCCATACCCATTTCTCTATCTTGAACCCATCAGTATCTACATATGGTGTTTTCAGAGTGGCTTCCTGATTTGTACAGTGACTGCACCACTTGACCAAATGTGTTGGCACCCCTAGGTCTTCTAGGCTCTCCATAGCTTGTCATGATCAACACAATCGAAGGCTTTCTTGTAGTCACTAAAGCAGATGTAGATGCTCTTTTGATATTCTTGAGATTTTTCCATGATCCAGCGTAGATTTGTAATATGGTCACAAGTGCCACGACCCCTTCTGAAGCCAGCTTGAAAATCTGGTAATTCCCTTTCGATTGTAGGTGCAAGACATCCTTATGATCCTAAGGAGAATCTTGCTAGCGTGAGGGATGGGGCAATTGTACGGTAATTGGAACAATCCTTGGAATCACCCTTTTTTGGCAATGGAATGAACACTGATTATTTCCAGTCCTGGGGCCATGTGTTTGTTTCCCAAATTTTCTGGCACAAGGCTTTGATGATTGTAGGTGGTACAGGCCTCAGCAATTTTGCAGGGATGGTATCAACACCTGGAGCTTTGTTGTTTGGCAGTTGGTTCCTTGCCCACACGACTTCTTC